TACATTGATTGAGCATAAGTATTAGTAACATTTTGTTTATTTTCATTGACTATGCTTTTTAGCATGGATCATACATTGTAGTTAGAAAACGGTGCGTTTCTGTTGTAGGAAAAAATGATTTCCCTATCACAGATTACAGATATCAGTGCTTAGCACTGAAAAAGCCGAACGATACCTTTAGACCAGAAGGTCCCGAAATAATGGGTTTACTTTTTTGAGTTGTGGCCATATTGCATGAATAAGCAACATGCTAAAGGATAACTAAATTGCATATTTGTATGGACAACATAGGCATAACTCAACATGTGCCTTAGATGCTGCTTAATGTTTGGCTTTTTTTGAAAAGCAACAAATTCATATCTACCTACGAATTTCCAAATGGGTTTTTGTGGGACGAAACTCCCTACTATTTTCCGTCATTTGCTTAAAATCTCATAAATAAAAAATCTCGTCTTGTGACATTATTGCATGGACTCGACGATTTCAGTACCAAGCACTGAAATTATCAGACGGTACCTTTAATTGAGCTTTTAGATTAGCATTGTAAGTCCCACCTACTTGGAGAATGAAGCTATGGAACGGCTTGCTATACCCCGCCTCCATATCTGCCAAAAATCCGAGAAATTATAATTTACGCGGAGCATAGCAAGCCGTTCTATAGCATAATTCTTCAAGTAAGAGGGACTATGCTATAGCTTTTTACCTTTCATTTGACACCTGTTTGAAAGTAATCCGTGGGATCCCGAATAACTATTTTATTTATTATTAATTTTTGCCACATAACTAGAAGATTTGTATCAATGCAAATCAAACCATTCTGTTTCCACACTCGAATTCACCTCGGCTTGTTCCGCCTGCTAACGTCAAGATCCATCTTGATAGCACTCTCATTGAATGGTCGAATGAAGTAGTCTACCTTTGTCTCATCCTCGATAACAAATTGCTATTGCGATCCCATGTGGACAAGACATCCACCAAGTGAACATCTTGATCAGGTTGCTCTACCCTCTGATAAACACGAAGTCCACCCTGTCCCTCCAAAGCAAGCTTGCTGTCCACAAGCAGATCATTCTGCCGGCTATTGAGTATGGTATGCCAATTTGGGAGAGTTGTGCTAAGTGCCACCACCTAAAGCTTCAGAGGATCTAAAACAAGATCCTCAGAATGATCCTTAACAGTGCACCGCGAACTCGTAATTCTGAGATTCACCACCTGGCCGGTCTTCAAACACTCGAAGAGCGAAAGACTTCCACGCTGGAAAGGTTCAGAGTCACCTGTCTACGATCAAACCACCAGATCATTTGTGATTTGGGAACCTAGTTCAAGTAGTTAGGTAAGTTCCTGTGCTCAAGTAGGTAGGTTATCAATTTTTTTTTAAATTCAAACGAAAACAAGCCCTTAAAAGGTTATCCTGTAAATTAGCACTAAACGCAATCATCACATTAGAATAACTAATTAACTAGAACAAAGATGATGATCCCCCAAATGTTGAAACTTAAAAAAAAACCAGTAAATAAACGTAATTTTTACTACTTACTTGCCGCATAACCATAAAGTAAGGAGCGAAGTTTTAAAAGCACATATATGATGTTGCTAGTGAAATACTTGACTAAGTGACGTTGGCTTGGAAGTATAATTTTTAAAGCAATGAAAGGAGCCAGTAAATTAATTTAAAGCCCTTTAGAGGTAAATCAAATATGTTTTTCTTCAGTCAAGTAATAGTTCAAGACACTGAAGAAGCCTGCACATTGTAGACGAAATACGCGTATGTGTCAATGATAAGCATATAAAGTAGTGGAATTAAAAGGAAATTATTAATCCTTATATCTCTCTCTCTCTTTTTTATACAGGTACTTAAATGCTAGTTTCTGGACGAGAAATATTTCTTCAGAACATAGAGGTTGTCCGTTCTTCGCATATTTGGGGCCAAGCGTTAAAACAACTTCAAAAATGGTACAAGGTAGTGTGAAAGATCACATAAGAAAAAAAACATACCCTTCAAACTATTGTGAGCAGTATTGAAGCCAATTTTGTACAAAAATCAGAGTATGCATGTATGTATATGTATGTATATACAATCCAACTTCCACTGTCCGGCAGTGTTTTTATGGAAGAAAAATGTTTGCAATATAATCTATTATTATTATACTGACCTCATTGCAAACAATTTTAGCCCGGAAGTTGAAAGGCGATAGCTCTGTTGAGATTCAGTAACCCATTTCAGAATGCCTGGTCACTCACGTCCATTCCGAGGTTACTTTCACTTACAACAAGCCCCGCATACACGTAGTACCGATATAAAATGTATATTGGTACTGCGTGCACACTTCCATAATCAAAGCAATTCCTGCTTTGTAGATGGCACGTATTTAGTAGGATGCATTTCATATTTTTATATCTAGTTGTAATCAGTTAGATCTCACCGCTTATGTATTGTGTCCTCGACGTGGAAGGATCGTAGTCTAATCTGCAAAATCATCTTTCCCGGTTATTGTCCAGGGGGGCAGAACGCCAATACCAAATACGTAAAAAGACACGGCAAACGTTGCTTCCGGGAGTGGAGGCGTAGCACCGAAACACACTAGCACGACGCTACAGCAACACAACTATTCAAAAAAAAAAATTCTAACCCGGGAATTTTCACAATAATTTACAATATTAAAACACCGATAAATTAATCATGATGAATCTATATTCACATGATAATAATGAAAACGAATTACTTTTTTCCTTGGTACCAAACAGCCAAACAGCACGCGGAAAACACGGAATTTGTGACAGCGAAATTAAAACCGACCGTTTGCGGGCAGAGCCTACTGCGCATAATTTTGTACAAAAATCAGAGTAGAGGCAAAACTAAAACACAAATAAAACTAAAACAATTGTAAGCCGACGGCAAATTTAATCTAGCAAAAACACGAGTGTGGACGTTAAATGTGGTTCAATAGAAATGTCTTGAAATCAAAACTTTAAATGGCACGCAAAGCATCAAGTCTTCAACAGTACAGTTCGTTCTTGCCCGTTTTTAAAGTTTAAAAGCAAACTTGAAATTAAGCAAGCTATTAAAAATGATTTTGTACAAAACCTAAAGAATTGCAGCAAATTATATTCAGCATTAATAGCCAAAAGTGATCAGATCAGTTCGTGTAGGGGAAACGCTCCTATGGTTGCGGCAAGTTAGAAGCGTTAGGTTTCTATAGTTGTGCATGGAGGCTCAATACACAACTATAGGAACCTAACGCTTATCTCGTACCGCAACTATAGGAGCGTTTACCCTACTAGATAAAAAAGTTGAAAAAAAATTTGAAATCGTTTGATTCGTCTTTTCGGGTTAAGTGTTTAGGCCGGATACATATATTTTTATGAGATAAATTTTGCAAAGAAATATATTAGAAGAATACACTATCTTGAGGTCATTTTACTACCATATTTTTAAATGTTGTTAAAGGAGATTTATCTGAAAAATTTGTGCATTTCATACTGTCAAGACGAACCAGATGGTCACGAAGGTGATCATTGATGCATTTTAAATGCATTTTCCCACTGAAAGTAAACACGAATCAGTAGCGATCGTTGAGTGTACCATTATTACACCAACACCGTTAGAAAAAATCATGTGAATTTCTGCGAGATATAGCGCACATAAAATTTACGCTAGCGTGTAAATATAAGCACAATATCGCATATATTTGCATTATTGCATGCAAGCTTGTCAACGATTTAGCTGTTTTTGCAAAGTATAGCTCAAAATTAAACGAAGGGAGATTTTTCGCGATAGTTAAAAGACAGATTTTTTTTTCTGTGTAGGAACCATGTGACCTTTCACGAAATTCATCCCAAACTATAACTTAATGACTTTTTTTGATAATTTCACAAAACATCAGCCCTTTCGAAGGTTGTTACCTTTCAATGAAAAAGTTGTAGCATTTCTAGCTAATTACGATTTTAAATAACATTGTGTTACTGATTTGCCAAATATATACTAGAATGTCATCAATAATAAACGTATTGATCTAATCTGCTGTTTATATGCATTTTCCAAATTTTTGGACTTAGTAGATTTTTCTGTGTGAGTTCAATCAAAACACTGCATTACATTTCAAACTGAACAAATTAGGAAAGCTCGGGGAATAACATTTTGACAATCTTTTAAATTTGTCGAACCTCTTAACGGAATCCCTCTATGAAGAGCTTTGAGCTTGTTGGTTTATTCCCATTAAATTCCGTTATAATTGCATATCTTTTTACAGATACGCGTATTTCGTCTACTACTTGCAGACTTCATAAATACCAAAAACTGAGTGGTTTTGAGTACTTGGCACTGATGAAGACTGCAAGTAGTAAACTAATTACGCGTATCTGTCAGAAGATAAGCAATTATAACGGAATTCAAAGGAAATAAACCAACACACTCAAAGATCTTCATTTTTACAACGTTTAGAACGAACATATTAAAAAAATGTTCAATATCCCTCGCTGGTCTTTTTTAAATAGTGAATGAATCAGTGGTGCTAATTTTTATTATAATATTGTTCTGCCTTAAACACCGTGGCTATTCAGATCGACAAAATCTTCTTGAAGGCAAACAGTACCGAAGAGTCTGTGTCTGTGCACGCCAATGTAGCCAGCACAAACCAGGGAATGAATTCAGTTGTCCAATAGCAGAAGTTGTAATGACTCTTCAGAGAGAGAGAAAAAAAAGGCTTGTTATAAGCAGGTCCCCCAGCTTTTATTGCAGAAATGCGAACCATCCATAGAGAGAAATATCGATCGAAAAAATTACTACCTTTTTCGATTGTATAACTTGTCTTGTGGATGTTTAATATGTGTAAAATGTAAATTTTCATAATTGCACTAATGAGAAAATTGCCCGCGTGCAACATGGAGGAAGCGAATCGAGTTGAGAGTGTGCATTGATTTTTGGAGTGGATTTATGTTCCGATGGTGGTCAGCTTTTCGTGGGATAGCATTCAAAATTGCGATCACGTTGCGTTACTTACTGCTTTGGAATCCTTTGTTGTCGTACGCGGAAAATTCACCTGTGGAAGAAAGAAAGTGAAAACAAATTGTTACTTAAAGTTGCACTTGGTGTCATAACATTTAAATAGCTGACAAATTGCACATTGCACGAATAATTAAAGTGGTTGTGTGAAGGCCATTTTTCAACAATGCAACAACCCAGCAGGTTGATTCATGGAAAGTCACAGATGCCCATCACAACCGTCTGCCAGTGTTACTCATAGTCATACAAGTGAAAGTAATTAACTCCTCTCGCTTGAGGCTCTAATGAGACTGCCAAAAAACAACGAAACGTCCATCAAAAGCAAACTTTTCAATCTATCCAGCCACAAATTTATTTTCCGCCCAAAATCTACATGACCTCAAATAAACCCAAACTCGCCCGTACTAGCAACCATCCAGGCGAACTGAAAGACAGCTAGATGGAGAAAGTTGCAAAATAGTGCGACTTAGGGTCCGAAAAAAAAAATACAGCAGGAAAAAAGAACAATTAACTGGCAGCGGTGGCGGTGTAGTTGAAATTAACTGCGGATTTAAGTCCGTCTGTCAAGATGAAGGCAACAACGACGTAGAAAAGCTTCTTTTTTTCGAGGTCGCTTCTCAAGACAAAACTCATCCGAATGAACTGAACCCCAAAAGATGCGAAAAGAAGATGGAAATTAGTGAAAGAGAGTGATTAGATCTCCGCGAGTATAGGTAGGTAGCTACTGCTCTTACTGCGTGGGAAAGAATGAGATTAGGGCTCTGCTCGGTTTCTTTTTGACTTGGACGTGTTCGTTTGTTCAATCACTACTGTCTTGAGAGGGAAATCAGATCACCAATCGACCGATGTGACGCACTTGCATATGTATGGACTCGAAGGCACAGGTCATGATAGGCGCGGCTCTTTTTTTAGCGCTCTGCGTGGTGACACTAATTGAAGCGCGCACGTGTCATAGCTTGTATCTACATGTGCCAACTTAAGCTTATCGAAGAATGTGTATAAAGTTAGCGCTTGACGTCGCCGACGATGACGGATGACTTTCACAAATGTTTCCACCCGAATAATCTTCGAAGCCTGTAATTAATCGTCTGTGGTGAATCAACTGCGAGGGAGCCACACACGGGTGGCGATTTCGTATTCAGCGATCAGTGTGACTACATGCTTGCATCATGACCATCATCAATCACTGAGATGTGAGTTTAATGATTCTCATTAGGTGCGTAACATCTTCGTTTTCATTCTCCCTCATTGGGTGCTCGGTGGTTTTAACGGTAGCACGAAATCAAAATATGTTTATAATGAAGAAGATTGTGTAGTGATTAGTTTTTTTTGCTGTATATGTATTTTGCAAACTCGTTTGATGGGTTTCGAGACCACCATCGTTGATTGAATGGAAGTGTAGGTCAGAGGATGCTTGCTAAATTTATTGGATAATGTTTAATTATGATTTACAATATGGAGGTAAACATTGTAAATATGTGATCATTAAGTAAACACTGCACAATGGTTTTGAAAAAGTAATGCATATGAAGGTGTAAACTTAATTCATGAAATAGACCCAGATTTCAATAATTGTTTTCTTCAAATTTTGGTAAATTTCGAAGTGTCCATTGCGTCCATTTCAGAAAAGTTTGATTGTTTTTATTTAAACATAAGTTTAAAAGTCTTTAAAATGCTCTTTTTTGTTATTAAAGATTTTATCAGTGTTTTTTTTAATGTTCGACGAAAATATTTGATTTTTTTTAGTTTGTGTTATTTTCTTTAAAGGCAATCCAACTTTGTGTCAACCACTATTTCGATTAGATGAGCCGTTTTTGTGATGTGATTTATTTAAAAATAACAAAAATGCCGTTTTAAAAAATTAGGCGCGAGTCAAACTGGCCGAATTCCAGTACAAACTTGGTGCATGCCCTTAGTGAACAATTGCGAAGTTTCAAGGCATTCGGGAAAAAATAATCGATATGCCAGTTGGCGTGGAACTACTCCGAAAGAAACAGCCCTTGTGAGTGTACAGTGTTGATGACAATATTTCATTTGGCTTCAGATGCATATTCGCAATTTGAACACCACCAACTAGTCTCGAGTCTGCCATCTTGAGTTCTAAAATGGCAGCGATTGTTGATATACATCTTTTTTGCGTTAAGTCCATTTCGTTGATACCCATTGGGTTAATTTTAAAACCAACTGTTCCCCACTGCTCTTTCAATGCGCATTAAAGTCCCAGACAACTGTGCAAAATTCGAACGAATTTGGATATCATATCGATTGACGGCAGAATTTAATTTTTTTATTTGGAAAATGCATGGGTAACGGAGGGATCCTATTCATTTGCTTATCGATGATATGTGCTTACCTCTTAGTATGTTCAAACTTTCTCATAAACAATTAAATTGAATGCAAAGACGCTAAACCGTAAATCAAAACAAAAATCCAAATATTGCTAAAATTGCACCAAATCTCAAACTTAGATTGAGAATATTGTATAGTAACAGCTTTGTGCAATACTGTTAATCGATCTTATGTTTGTACAAAAAGTTACTAATCTGTCACTGTAGGCCAAGTGTTCCACACGTACCTACAAGCTCATATATACGGAGCAATAGGTCTAAAGTAATATAATAATAACTTTTTTCTCAGAATTAGGTATAATAGACTTGCAGTCTGAGACAAAGTTGCTTTGCATAGTACTCCCAATCTATTTTTTGTGAAGTTTGAGTAATATTTGAATTTTAGGCAAGCAAATGAATAGGTTCTATTCGATTCCCATACATTTTTCCATACAAAATATAACATTCTCCCGTAAATCCAGATCGTAACCCAATTCGTTTAAACCTGGCATTGTTATTGGGGACTACAATACACATCGGAAGAGCAGTGAGGAACAGGAGATTGTAAGCTGCCTTACTTATTTATTTGGAGGGAAAAGCCCACACTAGTGGGCGCAAAACCTCATCATTTCAGTACCAACATATAACATGGAATCCTACAGATACATTTGCTTGAACTAAGTCCTTAACATATAAAAAGATATTAATGATAACATAATTAATTTAATTTAAATACAGAAAACTGAAACCGTCAGGAAGTAAAAAGTACATTATGAAACAGATTCTTAGGCCTAACACGGGAGATATTAAAATCAAAGCAGTTATAACATTTGTTGAAAATCTTGCACGTGCTAATTAAAGGCTCCGTAGTTTGTGCGAGAAGCCGGGATATTGAAAAAATAATAAGAACGTAAATTTACGCGTCTGATATTGACATTCAACTGCTGCAGAAGTGAACTGCAATTAATGTCCGATCGTAGGAGATCAGCGATGAAGGTAGCCTTGGATACGCCTTGGTGAACACTAAGTAATTGTAGGGACATCAAATTACAGCGACTTTCATAACTAGGGAGATTGAAAGGATCACTCCAGGGTAGTCAACGAAGGGCGAAACGTACAAATCTTCGCTGAATGGCCTCAATACGATTCACCCCGTTGCTGTAAAAAGGAGCCCAAACTACGGAACAGTACTCTAATGTGGAGTGGACTAGCAAACAATAGAGTGTTTTTAAACAGAGAATGACCCTAAAGTCTTTGGCGAAACGGCAAATGAAACCAAGTTGAGAAGCCACATGGTCCTTGAAGGTGAGTTGTGAATCAAGTAGGACGCGCCTAAGTCTTTCATGGTCATTCGTTTCATGCATTCATTTACATTCATTTGCCTCTAACTTTTTTCATCAACAACATTCCGCAAAATGATGTATAGAGCTTTAGTAGGTTATGTTATTAGCTACAACTTTTGCGCATAATTTAAACCTGTATCTCTTATGCATCACGAACTTGTTACTGTTTTTCAGTGAATGTAAAATACATTCACTGAAAAACAGCAGTGGATTCTGTTCGCTCTGGTTCGTGCATAAGAGATACGGATTTGAGTTATTAACAAAAGTTGAAGTTAATAACAAAACCTACAAAAGCTCCATGCATTATTTTGCGGAATTCTATTGATGAAAAGTTAGGGGCAAATGAATGTAAATGAATGCACGAAATGAATGCAAATGATTTTCCATGCCTGTTCATGGTAGGTTCACGGCTTAACATTTGCTCCTGCAGGCTGTAAGTATAACAGATAGGTGATTTTTTCCTGGAAAACGTTATAATGGCACATTTAGAAGCATTTAATACCATCCTGTTCTTGTCACAGCAAACAGTAAAAACGTCCAGCTGCTGCTGAAGAAACAATGCATCACTTCGATCATTGATGGCAAAGTATAGTTTGAAATCGTCAGCATAAGACAGCTTCAGGCAACGGATCGAAAAGTGAACGTCATTCAGATACAATAAAAATATGAACGGTCCCAGATGACTGCCTTGAGGTACACCAGAAGAAACAGTGAACGGTTGAGAAACATGATCTCCAATCTTCACTGACATATGTCGACCGGTGAGGTATGAGCGAAGCCAATCAAGAAGGGAACCGTGAAAATCAAGTCGCTCTAGTTTGGCCACTGCAATCTCGTCATTGATTTTATCAAAAGCAGCAGAAAGATCGGTGTCGATAGCATCCACTTGATGATCTCTTTCCATCTCGCGTATGATTGATGATGTGTATTGAACGACATTTGTAGCGGTCGATCTCTTCGGTTCTTGTTCAGTCGCGATGTAACTAGAGCATGTGTGTTTTAAATAATCTAGCACCAATAGTTCAAAAAGTTTTGAGACTGCACATAAAGCAGCGATACCACGGTAGTTGGACACCGACTGCTTATTGCCTTTTTTGAAGACAGGGAAAACGAAAGAATCCTTCCAGCAGTCGGGAAAGATCCCATAATCTAAAGAGAGATTGAATTGATGGATGCTAAAGGTGCGGTCAGCACTCCAATACAGTTCTTAATAACCGTGGAAGGGATTCCGTCAGGGCCAGTGCTGAAAGAATTTTTCAAACGAAGGCTTGTTCTACGAACATCATTAGTCGAGATAGGCGGATGCGGCCCAACAGCAGAAAGTACGGGAACATCACTTACGGCGGCTACGATGTGCTCGTTAGGTC